ACTTTCGATCACCAAGACCCGCCTCATAAGTCAAACCCAGGGCTCGAGCCATGTTAGTAGCAGCTCGGACTTCCTCCTTGGTACTCGCCCGTCGAAGCTTCTCTCGAATTGATTGAGCTAGGCTGATAGGGAATAAAACTACTACATGAGGAATATATGTTTGCTTTCTTCAGCTGATCACACTACATTATGAAAAATTTCACAGTACAGAAACCAATAAGCATTCCCAATATTTCCTCACTGTCATCAACACATTAGCTCAAAAGCTGAAGCGGAACTCACTCATTATCAGCGACGACTTCCTTCTTTTTTTCTTGCTCCTTCGGCGCGGCCATACCCAGCATGCTCTTCAACTGCTTCTCAGCGACAGTTTGAGGCTTATTATTACTACCTGTAGTGTGCCACTACCACGCCTTTCCCAATTCGCACATCCTCACGCCTAATCGTTTGCCGAGAACGGGCGCCCCTCTCACTAGAAAGGTGAACTCTGTGATTCCCATTGTTCGTCTGCTCCTCACGAGTGGGGGCATAAGCCGCATCAATAACCTCCTCTCGAACTCGCTCAGGGATGAGCATATCCAACTACAGGGAACTACCGCTATCATACTCCCATATCGCTATATCATTATTACCTCCATTTTAGTAGGCTTCTTTCCCTCACGTTTGCTCAACTTCATCAACCCCTTCACGGCGTTGCGAAGTTCTTCAACTTCCTTGGTTAGATCGGCCAACTGTTTTGAATCAGACTTGGCCATACGCTGAAGGCAATGGCGATTTTCGAAGCTTTTCAGTGTGAACTCAGTGAGCTACATTGAGATTCGCGAGCTGATCTTTGAGAGCTTTATTTTTAGTCCGGGCGTTGACCATGTCAGTGGGAGATCGTTGCTGCTTTTTAGTAGACATTCCCGAGAAAAACTTTAGTATAACAAAAGTGCTGAAATACGCGGCAAATGTACTTACTGTATATCAACTATTATTATTATGGAGTTCCACCAGTTTTACGTGAAGTGGCGTAAAACTCTGTAAAAAACGCGATAGTGCAGTAGTGGTGAACTATATTTTTTACTAGTGTTTTGCAGATCAAAAACTCCATTTGTGAAGGGCATTATACTTTGATATCTAAAAAGGTATATGTAATATTTATACCCCCACTATAACGGTTTCATCCTGACTGTAGATAGAAGTACCCTAGAGAAAATAGCAATGACCAATCGAACAGAAAAAACAGAATTCTACTATAGAGAATTATACTGTATAATGTTATACGTTTCCGGCATGGTGAACGATTCGACCGACTGGTGAATCGACTGCCTTCACTGCGCCATAAAATTACTCACGAGGATGCTAAGGTTGGTGGCCAAGGTCTCGAGCTTCCGCCGGCGGCCTCGGGAGATACATAGCGCTCGCCCAAGTAATCGATTAGGTTTCCGAAGAGAGCATGAACGAGAATACCGTGAGGTCTGATTGAAGGAGACGCCACATGAGGTAATAAAGCAGTTCTACGCGAATACCTGAAATTCTAAGAAGTAACATCCAGTACCACGCCCCCTTGAAATAACACAAGTTTCTACGGTGGTTACCCGTTGGTGACCTTCTCCATCCTGCATCTCCGGCCGCGGGGCCCAATGTCCCCACAATCGGGGTTGAATGTCCACACACGCGGAAAAATGTTATTTATAGAGTAGAATAGCGGGCCTTCGGCCCGCTTTTTACTGTGGTCCCTTTACGACCCTATCACGTACACCCTATACTCGAATAGTCCACGAAGGATAGACACTGGGGTTCAATTCCCAACTGCGGCGTTGCGGAAAAATTACATGCACTTTGCACAAACTGCGCAACTTGAGTTTTGAAACCGTTTTGAAAGAAAAAGCCTCGCGGTAACCCCCCCACAGGTCTTGGCGCCTCAACGTGGCGTGGGGGTGACCGGTTCGGTATAGCCGGTGCCAAGCCTTGACCACCTCTGCGGCAGAGGCTCTGCCTATACTCGTACATCCCTCAGCGGGTGCCTGGGAGTAAGGTGGGGTTTCCCTCTGTTGATGCCTGTTTAGCTCTTTTCTAGCGTTTCATTCGGCGGCCTGCTACTATGTGTATACCTG